GTCTGTGGACATCACCACATACATGCCCATAGTGATGGCTCCATGAAGGAGCTGCCAGCTGAGATCCCCGGTGGCTCATGCAATGAGGATGAGCTACAAACTCAGCCACCATGTATGTCTGGTTGTGATGGAACATGTCGGTCAGCATGGACCACAGGCACAGGAGATGGTCTTTGCTGCCATCTTGTAGTCTATGCAGAGGCGGGACATGGGATGCTAGTTCCTCAGGTCGTGGAGATCCACCTTCTTTGGCAGGAGGGTCAGCACGACCCTCTGGCACAACAGTGGAGTTCCCCTCTTCCCTTCGATTCAGCCCAGACCACAGAGAAATCCAGGCCAAGGACTCCCCAGAAGGTACAGTAGAACTCTGCAGTCAGCCCGTCGATGCTCGGTGCTTTGTTGCCAAGCATCAGGAAAGGAGTGGCTGAAAACTTGGCCAGGATGAGAGGAGACTAGAGCCAGTCCCAGTCACCCATGCTGACCTGTGGGAGTCTCTTCTACAGGGTCTGACAGGCTTCAGTGTCAGTTGGCTCCAGGGAGAAGAGCTCTTCATAGAAGGCCCACATGCACCGATGCATCTCACCTGGATCCGTGAGGGGGGGTGCCGTCACATGCCAGAGGCATGTGATGCACTTCTTGTCCCCCTTCCTTCTCTCCAGGGCACAGAAAAAGCAGGAGCTGCGGTCCATCTCCTGAAGGGGCTGACCACACAAGTGGACAGAGCACAAAGCTCTTCCCACCTCTCCTGACACTCTCTGCAGAGGGATGGGTTGATGGCCAGGCACCTCTTCAGCTCTAGCACTTCCCACCTGAGCTGTTCCCAGATTGCAACCCTCTGCTGAGTGTGCCCCTGAGTATAGCTGCAGAAAAAAAGCCAGATGTGCATCTTCCCTACATCCCAACATCTCTGAGCTGAGAGGAAAGCTGCCCGTTGCTCCTGCCAGGCTATCCAGAACTCCTGGAAGACCCCCATGAAGCCCACATCCTCCAGCAGACTGGCACTGAAATGTCAGTAGGCCGACCCTGGGCATCCAGGCCCTAGTGTAGCCTGAGCCCAGACAAGGTGGTGATTGCTGAGAGGGGTCAGCCAGATGCCAAAGGAGTGGGCCTGGGCAAAGTGTGGCAAAGACATATAAGCCTGGTCCAACTGAGAGTGGCATGCCTGCTTCTCCCCCACCCTCACATAGGTGAAGGCAGGTCGGGGGGTTGGTATGGTGACAGACACGCCAGACACCTGCTGGGGAGTAGTCCACCAAAGACACCCGTGGTGGCCTGGTTCCACTTCTGGTCTCTGCCTGACTGATCTCGGGCATCTAGGGTGACGTTAAAGTCCCCACCAAGGACCAGGCACTCGCAAGGGTTGAGGGTACCAATATATGTGGCTGTCTGGTGGAAAAAATCCAACTCCAGGTCCTTTGCAGGGTCATACATGTTCAGAAGGTTTGGGAGCAGCTCCTGAACTTGGACCCAGAGGTGTAGCAGGTGGCCCGGCAACACCTCAGTGTCCTGGAGAACCTCCAGCTGCAGGTCTGGGGAGAACAAGGTGGCCACTGCACAAGAGGTGGCTGAGAGATGACTAAAAAATACCCTGCCTTCTGACTCCAGCCACCAATTAAGCTCATCAGCCAGAGTTGTCAAGGTCTTCTGCAAGAATACCATGGAGTACCACACTCCCCCCACCTCGAAGGAAGGAGAGCACCCAGCATCTCTGGAGACCCTTCCTGCAGCTGTGGACATTGAGGATCATGATCTTAAACAAGCTCATGGCTGTGGGGTGGAGGAGACAATATATGCATCTCAACAACCAGTGTGGGGCCTGCCAGCTCGTGTGATCCCCTTCCATAAGTATAGAGGGCATCTATGAAACTGCGGGCCCACCTATACATCTGGGCATTGCAGCTTTTGGGCCCCTTGCTTTCCCCCACCAGCACCCTCACAGTGGTGAGGACGCTGTCAAAATCTCCCTAGCCATCCAAGACAAGCTGTACCTTGCTGGCAGAATGCTAGGTGTATTCGTGGTCAAGAAATGCAAGAAGCTCACCCCTGGGAACTGCCAGAACCAAGAGGTCTTCAGGCTCTACAGAGCCTGCTGGTTCTTGGGTGTCCTCCTCCTGGTCCTGGAGTTCATCAGGCTCCTTAGGTACCATGTGAACCCCCTGGTTTGCTAAGACCCTGGACTCTGGCTGGGATTGTTCTGCAGCCCCTTGGGATGGCGGTGGGAGTAAGGGTGGGGGCAGGGTTCCCTCACAAGATGGCATGGCAGGGCAGAGCTGGAACCATGGGGGGTCTTCATGGGGTCCCTGACAGGATCAGACTGTTGGTCTGGGGACTTCACCCCGACACCCTCTGGTGTGGGACCATCGGTTGGGCTAGAGTGGGGTTTGACTGGGAGAGGGGAAGAGGAGACCCATCAGGAACTGGGGTGGCATCAGTGCTTGTCTTCGAGTCCTGGGAGAGGGGACTTCCCCACTCAGAACTCACCAGGGTGAGCCCCAGGACCCCCATCTCCCCTAGATCATTGGAGCACACACGACCCTTGAGTGTACCAGGCTGCAGCCCCTCCACCTCCACCTCCAGAACCTCCTCCTGAGGTACTGGTTGAATTTGACTCCCCACCTTTTTGCTTTTGGTCACCCTATCTGTGGCCCCACCAAGTGCCAGGACCTCCTGGTCAACCTCTTCCTGGCCCTGGCCGAGTGGGCCCTGTATGTGCATGGACAGGTGAAAGGAAGGAGGTTCTGGCCTGGAGGGTTCCCAGAGACTGCAGGGAATCTTTTCTCTCACCTGTCCATGGAGGTTTGTATACTGGCTCCTCCATTGGGTAGTGTATACTGGCCTCAGTCTCAGCGCCTATGGTCTTGGAGGATAGGCCCTGGCCAGTGGAGTAAGGGGTCCCTCCATGGGCTCCTGCTCAGGGGTGTCCAGCAGCCCTGAAACCTCTTCCAGGGGGATGACTCATTTGATCTTTCCTGGGGGTGTGGTGTCAGGTGCAGCCTGGGAGGTCCCCAGAAGCTGGCCACTCCTTACCACCATGTGGTGGTCTTGGGAGAGGGACAAGAGTTCTCCATGTCAGAGGGTTCCAGCTGCACCCGGGCCTTCCTTTTGGCTTTGCGCCCAGAGGTGACCTGTACCCACTCAGCCATGGGGTGGTTGTCAAGTGGACAGGCTTGTCAGGGCAGGTTTCTATGCTGCTGGAGCCAGCATCTGTGCTAGCCCCAGTCTCTATCTCCCCCTGGGTGAAGATCTGGGAGGAACTGGGCAGGGTGAGTTTGCCCCAAGTGGCACAATTTTCCCCACACCAAAGTGCATGTTCAGACATGTCTGCTGAGGCACAAATCTCCAGCACAAATTTGTGACACTGCTATTTAAGCTGTTGCACATGCACATGCCTGCATATGTGGAGGGATCTTTAGAGATTTTGTCTGCATCAATATGGGGGCTGATGTGCCACTATCGTCACTGTGTTTGCTTTTTTTTTTTTTTTTTTTTAATTGTTATTGAGATTCTTTTACCCCATGTCCACATTTTCAATCTAAAAGATACTTTTTTTTTAATCCAGGATCAGAGCCGTTATGCTAGTCAGCATTTTACAAATACATAGAATGATAGAAATAATAGAAAAGGGCTACAAGGGACCTCAAAACTTGAGTTCAACACCCCCTGCTCTGGACAGGAATACTGTTGAGACCAAATTATCCCAGCAAGATGTCTGTCCAGTCTTCTCTTGAAAACTTCCAAGGTTGGGGACTGCACCACCTCCTTAGGAAGTCTATTCCAGATCCTGGTCACCCTTACCTTACATAAGTTCTTCCTTACATGCAACCAGAAACCATCATCTACCAGTTTATGACCATTGTTCCTTCTCTTCCCCCAGGATGCCCTACTGAACATAGGGAGCTTCTGACTTGCAGAGCTTATGGTTTAGATAGATAAAGGACACATTATTATCACCAGGTTACAAATGAGGAACAGAGGGTGCACACGGAAATGCAGCTCTCCGGTTTAACTCATGGTACTTTGCAGAAAGTGCCATGAGTTAGACTTATCTTCCAGAACCAACAGGCTTTAGCTGTTGGGTCAGGAGGGTGGAGGATTGGCTCCAACTTGGAGCCGCTCTGGGGAAAGAGGCTGCATGTCTGCAGCATCTCTCCCCTAGTTCTGCCTCCCTTTCACAGCTCCAATGCTCTGTCTGGATGGGATGAGGGGGAGAAGGCAAGGGAAGTAGCTTGTTCTGGGGGTTTCTCAACTCCAGTGGAGTGTGGGGGGCTGATGGGGAGCCACCCACTTCAAGGGTGCACCTGCCCCACCCTCCAGCACCAACTGGGCAACCCCCAGAATGAGCTCCCCTCTGCTCCCCTCCACCCCTCCCATTCTACAAACAGCACCAGGAGCAGGACTGGACTGTCAGGCGAGCTCTGCTCCCAGCAAATGTAGACAAAATTTAATGAAGGTTCTCCATTTTGGAGCATCTTCATCTGAATCCTCATGGAATGAGGGTTTAGATGGTCATGAGATGGGGCCCTTTTAAAGCACTCTGCACTTGTGTTTGGTCATGGTTGTAGACTGCTTTCTGGGGCCAGATTGTGTAAAACTGTCATGTCTGTCTGTGCCGAGAAAGAATCAGGATTTTGCCTGTGGTCAAACAAGAAAAGTGAACAACACAAGGACCTAGCCCCAGATAATGTATTACTTTGGTGTTCTAACCACAATGTATCCCTTCCTCTCCAGTTAAACTATAATGGTCAGATACCAGCACTGGGTTCCAATTAAGCAAACATTTTCAATCTCCAAATTTCCAGCTTCCTGGAGTTCTTTTATTTATGAGGTTACCATGCAGCCTAATATCCGAGTCAGCCAGAGGGCTTAGATCACCTACATCTAATCATTCAACTCAAATAAGTCTGTGAACTCCAGTTCCAATTACAGGACAAAATAAAGCACATAATTTCTGTTTTGATGAAGTGTATTGTCCACATTCAGTAGCTTCTTCCGCAGCGCCTGTTGTGATTTCCTGCATGCTTGACACTTAGAATCCTCCCCAGTTGTTTAAAGGATGCTCTGCAAAACAGAAATCGGTCTACTGATCATCTAGGAATCTGGATTTATCTTCCACTTTGATGTGAACTTTCTCCAAAAGGTCAGATTGTTCCAAATCCTGTAGAGCATCCACTTTAACAAGTCTATAGCTTTAATCTAAACTTTTCAGTGCATCTTTATATCTGATGTTAGAAAAAAAATAGTAAGAAAAAATGATGTTGGATTGGTAAGGAGAGTACAAAAGCCTCTTGAAACTGTATTTTTGATCCTTGCTGCTCAGGATGCATTCAAATATTAAAAATTCTGTTGGAAATTCAAAGCAATGTCTTCCTGTGCATTAAATCATCACAGTTTCATGCTAAAAGTTTGCTTAGAAACTGTAGAGAGAAGGACAAGCTCCTGTTAACCTCTCAAATCAGCTAAGCTCCTGTTTTTTTATTTTATTTTTTTAGAAAGTTTAAATAAAAGGGAGAAGAAAAAAAAAGAGAGTTGAGGCAGAAGAAAAGTAATAAATAATTCAACTGAAGACAGCAAAGCAAACTGAGTAAAGCGAGTCCCAATGGCGTTTACTGATACCCCATTTGTTGCATCTCAAAGGAATGCAACATGCACTCAAGCTACCAAAGCAAAGGCAGAAAAACAGTCTGCAAGTACACTTATCTGTTCCTTCAGGCCCTGGACTTATAAGTTAGCCACAATTTGGGATACCTTTTAATGCTGTGTACCTGGACCTGAGTAGGGAGGCTACTCCAATGCGCTGTAATTATAGTGCATCGGAGCAGAGTCAATTAATTGAGTCACTCGAGCATGCTAATTGGCACACTTTAGCCACCTTCTATGTCTCGTGCATCAACATCCCTGCACTTCAAAATGATGGCAAAGATGCTTAAACTAAAGCTCATTTGACAATGTTCAATGATAGAAAAAGGCCTGGGGGTGAGGGGATGATCCTAGATCAGGGGTGGGCAAAATGCAGCCTGGGGGCCAGGCCATTCTTTCCAGCCCACGGGGCTCCTAAAAAAAAATTAAAAATTAATATTTTTCTGCCCTTGGCTGCCTGTCATGCAGCCCCCGATGGTTTCCCAAAATTCAGTAAGTGGGAATAAAACTATCTAGGACAGGGGCTCAAAATAATTGCCCGCCCCTGTCCTAGATAGTATTGAACACTATCCATATCTGGCCCCCTATTCCCCCTAGTAGTTGAATACTTCATGATTGATAATGCCTTTATTTTCATTATACCCCAGTGAAGTAGGGCAATCTATTATGTTTCTTTTACTGATGAAGAACTAAGGCTCAGAGAGAATGAGATTATATCTGCATTGCTTCAATGGTGCTCCTGCCTTGTAAGAGCCAAGCCAAATAAGGTGGTGGTGAAGCTGTCTGAGAGCATCTCTGTTACTGTGCTCAAGCTGCTTACTTTCAGAGAAAGAGATTAACTCGGATTAGCTTCAGGAGTCTGGGGGCGAGTCGGCAGAACCAAACTTCTCAGCAACGTTCTCAAAACCACGTTCTCTGCATGATGCACGAAGGCTGGGACGGACCTGGAATTTAAAGTTGAGTCTCCCAGATCATGAATTGGTGTCGATACCACCACCCAGCCCTCCCTCTCCAGGAGGCTTTAGCTGATCCAGAAAATTTAAAGCACAAATCATCTCGCAACAAAAGACACTGGGAATACTCACAGGATTAGACATGGACCGTTGTGTTTTGCTGGCTGAGAGATCAGCCTCTTCTCATCTCCAGCCCTGATTTCCTGTGTCTATCACATATTTTATGGACTGCTGCTTTTCCCACCTGTAATTCATCATGAATTAAAATATTTCCTTTGCCAACATTATTTTAGGTCTTTAATGAGATTCAGACCAAATTCCACCATAAGTGCCTATAAACTCACCATGACAGCTCTGAGAGAGTTGTCTGGCCATTTGGTTCTGGAGCAGAGGAATAAGGAACAAAACAGGCTTAGTTCATTCCCTCCCAGGAGATGAGGCAAGGAAAGGGCATGGCCAGAGCCACTGAGACAGTCTATCATGCTTTCTCCATTCACAGAATTGTGTCATGGTTGGTGTAAGAGAAACTTCTCCCCTGCAGCTCCTCCCATCAGGGGACTCTTCCCATTTCTCTCCAGGTGTTTCATGCAGAAGAAATCCTTTTGGATACCATTTACTTCTCTAAGGCTTGGGTGTGAGCTTTTAGTAGAACCATTCCATTGCAAACGCTTTATCCCAAGTCAGGCATAAAGGGCAGCATATAGGTGGGCCACCCCCAAAATAGCCCATGGAAGGAATTTTCTTGGAGAAATGACAGACACCCGTTTCTTTTCCTTTTTGTTCCTTATTTTTCCTCCTCTTTAGGCTCATCTACATGTTCATTAATCTGCCATAAAGTAAAGTGCATTGTTTAGTACCTGTAAAGCAGCAGTACTGCATATTAAGACAGATGAACACTTTTTATGTGATGCTTATTGCTTCCTGGACTAAAGATACTGTGCATTAGTGCAGACGGATGGGGGGTTTTGAAACACTTAATGCCTATTAGACTAATCTACTGCACATTAGCGTGGTTTTTGCTATCTGCACCAATGTGCATTAGAATTAGCTCAATTGGGCATTAAGCATCTTGTGTAGATGTATCCTTTTATGTCCTTTTTCAATGTGGGCAGGGGGGGCAAGACTAAGGGGGATCAAGACTGGACCAAAATGAAACCAGTCTCTCTTGCTTGCGGATAGAATTTAGGGGGGAAAAAAAAAAAATAAGAAATACATAATAAAATACAAAATTGTAGTTTTGGGGCATTGGGCAGGTTGCCCCCCAAAATTATCACCTTGTTTTTAAAAACACTAATTAAAGGTTTTAAAGGGTTTTTTTGGGGGTTGTTTTTTGCTGCTCAGAGCAGGAAGAAAAAGTGAACTTACAAAAACCTCAGTTTCTTAGCAGATGGTTCCAGCGGAAAAAAAAAAAAAAAAAAGAATAGTTTGAAAACCGTGACAGGAATGAATATCTTTGTAGGTTGGCTGAGAAGTCTGTCACTGATCTTTCAACAGCAAGATAACAATAATGATTCAGAATATTTGCAGAACTATTCTTATATCATCCAATTGATTGAAATATACACCACGCTATTATATATGATTTTTTATCACTGGTATACTTGCTGAAGTTAAAATAAGGAATGCCCTTTATGCTTAATTAAGTGTTTTCACCAGAACCCTTAAAATGTTTCCCTTGCTTCCCAAGAAAAAGTAAAGAGTAGTTGCCCAAAATTGACATTGTTAGAAATATTACATAGTTAACACAATTTTTTTAATCCCTTTATTTTTTAGTTTTCCTCCTTTCAAAAGATCCTTTTCGTTGTTTTGTTGATTTTCCTTCTTAACATATTTTTCCCCCAGCACTGAGGGCAATATGGTGAGGAAAGAGGGAATGCAAAATACTGAAACCTGATAAATTCTCTATTTGTTTGAAACTAAAAATATTTGTAAAAATGCTTAGGATGGATTATTTACAACTACTAGTTTTCAACAAACTAGATGTGAACCACTCTTTTTGGCACAGCAATACTATTTAAACATAAGTTTACAAAGTAGAAAAAAGAAGCACGAGAAAGCACGGCTGTTTAAAAGACACAATTTCATTATCAGAAAATTGAGCTCATTTTCCCCAGCTAGAATAAACACCGCTGATGAGTAAGTATTAGCAATACTGTCTTTCCACTCTTTTCCCAGGAAGTCTCTATCATAGATTCATAGATGTTAGGGTCGGAAGGGAACTCAATAGATCAACGAGTCCGACCCCCTGCATAGGCAGGAAAGAGTGCTGGGTCTAGATGACCCCAGCTAGATGCTTATCTAACCTCCTCTTGAAGACCCCCAGGGTAGGGGAGAGCACCACCTCCCTTGGGAGCCCGTTCCAGACCTTGGCCACTCGAACCATGAAGAAGTTCCTCCTAATGTCTAGTCTAAATCTGCTCTCTGCTAGCTTATGGCCATTATTTCTTGTAACCCCCAGGGGTGCCTGGGTGAATAAAACCTCACCAATTCCCTTCTGTGCCCCCCATGATGAATTTATAGGCAGCCACAAGGTCGCCTCTCAACCTTCTCTTGCGGAGGCTGAAAAGGTCCAGGTTCCTATCATAGCATAGGAACTGTAATAATTTCTTTGAAAATCAACCATAGATATATTTTTGTTTTATTATGTTAATCCTATGTATAATAACCTCTTGGACATTGCAAAACAGATATTGAAGTAAAAATCCATAAGGTAATACGAAAGCACAGGGGTGGATCCAGTGGGTATGCAGTAGCACAGGTGCACTCCCCTCCCCATTTGGATTGGACCATGCTGCTTTAAAAAAAAAAAAAAAAGTCTCCAAAGTGAAAGAGAATCCCCCTCCATGCTCAGAGATGCATTGTCTCCCTCCCCTTCCTTCATCCCACTGCCCGCTATGGCTGCTATTCCTGCTGGGAAGTCTTCAGAGCTGCTTCTGCCCACTCCAGGGTATGGGGGGACGGGACGGACTGCTTGGAGATGGGGCTCACCTAAGGCAGCAACAGTGGCAGTGACTCCCTGGAGGCCGGACAGTGTGGGGGAACTTACCTCCTCCCCATTGCTGCTGCTGCTGTTCCCAGCTAAGCCCAGCACCTGCACAGCCTGGTTGGAGCAGGCAGGAGCAGCTCTGAAGCTTCCCCAATTCCTGGGGCAGGAGGTGGAGGGCACAGAAGGGAAGGCAAGGAGAGAGGACATGGCATGGAAGGGAAAGACAGGGGTGCTCACCTACTTTGGGAACTTTACAAAGTCCCCAAATGGTTGCACAGCACAGTCTGCCCACACTGGTGGGTTGGCAGGGAGGAAGCTGGAGCAGGAAGGAATCCACTCCTGCAGCTCAGGTGTTTGCTCCTCCACCCGCCTTTGCCTATGTTGGATCTGCCCCCTTCTAATTTATAACTAGTACATATTGCTAATTTATAACTAGTATATCTTGCTATATACATTTGCTGGTTTATACCAGCTGAGGATGTAACCCTTGGTGCTAAATCAAATGTCTAAAAAGATTCTATTAAATGTTGAGAGTGCGAGCAAAAGCTTGGGGTTTTATACTTCCACCCACTTCTATAAAACTGGAGAGTTTCCATGTAAAAATCAACTGCAATAGCAAAGTCCTAGTGGACTCCTCAGTCTCCAATACTTCTTTCTTAAAGCTAAAAATTGTGCCTAATGTAGGTGGTGTTAGATTCAGTGTGTGGCTTCTTTCTTTCTTCCTCTCTTTCTAGGTGTTACATGGTTATTTTATAAGTTGATAGACAGGTTAATGTGTTTCATGGCTAAGGGAGCCGTTTTTGTTTCTGCTGATTAGGGCTTTTGTGTAGATGGAGGTTTTAAGGCTGTGTCATTTATCTGGTGTATAGGCCTTTTCTAGGCTGTCTTATAAATCTCTATTTATAGTGTTTGCAAACCATTCTCCAGGATACTGTATGTTAAAGGGCTAAGACCTGCACCATATAAATGACCTAGAAAACCAGCTTCACTTTGGGACACACAGTCTAAAGTCTATGCACTGCTTAATACCTCAACTCAAATTGGATCAGATCCCCTCCCCCCCCCCCACCTCTGAAATTTGAAAAAATTTAGCCTCACACTTGGAGAGTGTGTGTGTCAAAAAGGTCTTGAGTTGGCCCTTTCTACTGGGAAGGATTTCACCTTTTGCATCACTCTGTATATATATTTAAATTTAAAAGCAGATGAGGAAGACTGAATGACACTGCCCTTTAACAAACAAACAAGCCCACACACTCTGTAATATCTAATAAATTAACACCAGTGTCATTAAAAAATAAAAATAACATTTTCAAAGCACAGCTTGTCATGTCCTCATGACTCAAAGGTTGTTGGTTTTCCTCCCCCCCTTAATTAATACATCTATTTCTAAATAAGATCCAAGCATTAGGAAAATGTCACACCATGTGTGTGTTTATTTTTGCTCAAGTAATTATAACGGTGTAGGATCTCTCTTTTTTTTTTTTTTCTTTTTTCTCTCTTCTCTTGCTGAGACAGAATGTTCCTTCAGAGGATAGAGCAGCCTCAAAGCAGCTGCTATGACATCCGAGGTGGAGGAAAAGTCAAAACTTTACTCTATTTCTTGTGTACTCTGCAACCTTTACTGGTAAGTGAAGGAACCTTTCCTCCGGGTACTGGGAGTGAAGGCTGTTGTCCACCTCGGTGGTTTCTCACTTTCAGTGAAAAGGGCTGGAGAGGCAGTCCCAGAATCTGCCCAAGGCTTAATGTTAGCCTAGGGATCTGTAGTGGGAAGGGGCCACATGCTGCTTGGGACTGGAGCCAGAGGGTAACACTCCATCCTCTCTGCCAACCTAGAATAAATCCTCCTAAAAATGAATGCCTGAAGCAGCATTCACTTGTGCATGGCACCTCTCCATACCCTAGGCTGTCCCCTTCAGAGGACTCTTTGGATCATTCATGGATGAGGGAATCAGTCCACGGAATTACACTGCCTGGGGCGCAGGACTGACACACAGGGGCCAAATCTACATTTGCATGCGGTAGGGCTTTTTATGGGTCCAAATGTAGCCATTTAAATTCCATTTAGACAGATTTTTTATTCTATTTCCATATGTGCTTCCTTCTAGCTGTGCCCTTTGCTTCCTTTCTGGGCACGCTCTGAAGACTCTGTGTTATCCATACGTATTCCCAAGTGGAATAGGATCAAGAGGGCAGGCATGTGACTAAGTTCCTGAAAGTGATAAACCACAAATGTTTCTGGGGTGGGATTCCTAACTTTT